GGTTCACATTAGTGTGGTCATTTGAGATGCTCAGTTTGTGTCCCTACATTACTACCCAGCCACAATGGTCAAAATGGCTTGGTGCTGGTGCAATAAAAAACATAGAGATCAATGGAACTGAATTGAGGACACAGAAGAAACTCAAACCACATAAAGTCTGCGGATCTTTGCAAAGGGCCCAAACACTTTAAATGGGCAAGATACAAACTCTGCAATAAACGGTTATGGCAAAACTGGAAATTCATAGGCAGAAATATGAAACAAGAGCCATATCTCACAGCACATACAGAAGCAAATTCAATGTGGGCTAAAGACCTAAGTGTAAAACCTAGAACTATAAAGATCATCTGTAAAGAAATAGGGACAATTTTAGGGGTTCTCCTGGTGTGGCGCTGAGGGTTAATGTGCCAGACTGAAAACCATTTGAACTGCAAGGTCAGCATTTAAAGTTCACCAGCTGCTCCTCAGAAACCCTATCCAGGGTTGTTATGGATCGGAACCAACTTGACGGCACTCAACAAAAACAACAACAACAAATAAATGACATAAATACACTCTCAAATATAACTAAAAACGCACACATAGAAGACAAAATAGATGAAAGGAAACTCCTAAAAATTAGACAATTACATGCATCACAAGATTTCACCAAGAAGATAAAAAGAGAGTCCACAGACTTGGAAGTAAAATTTTGTAATGACATATCAGACAAGAAACTAAGCCCTATATTTTATATAAAACCACCACAACAACAAAAAGACAAAACAATTTTTAAAAAGCACAGAAGACATGGACAGACACTTCACACAAAAAAACATGCAAATGGCCAACAAACATATGAATAAATTCTCATTATCACTATCCATTAGAAACTCATAAATCAAAATAAAATTGAGATATTATGTTACCTCAGATTTAATACCCAGGTCAGAAAACAGCAATTGCTGGCAAGGGTGTACAAAGACTAGTGGTGCAACCTTGATCGCACTGTGGAAAAGCGTATAGACATTCCTGAAAATGTTGGAACTAGCAATGCATTATTGTCTATCCATCCCTTTACTTGATATATACACCCCCAAGAAATAAGAACCATGACATGAGTGGATATGTGCACACTCATATTTGTCACAGCACTATTCATGATAGCAAAAAGATGGAGACAGTCTAAATGCTCATCAACATATGAATGAATTTTTAAAATTTTTGATAAATACACACAATGGAATACCACTAAACACTAAAGAATAACAATGAAACTGAGAGAGACCTCATAACATAGATGAACGTTGATGATACCAGGCAGAGTGAAATTAGTCAATTATTAAAGGACAATGAAAGAAGGCATACACAAAAGTCACTGTACCAAAAGCAGATGGACAATGTTCAACTATTTCAAGAAGTAGCATATGATCAGGAACCAATAGTACTGAATGAAGAAATCAAAGTTGACTGAAGGTATTAGTAAAAATAAATAAATAAATACATAGACTCCAAGGAATTGTAATCTAATACAAACTGAAATCCTGAAATTGCATGAACTATTTAGAGATGATGTAGTATTGCAGAAACCTACATGAGGCTTTTGGAGACAAAGGCACAATTTATTTTTATGTTTGTTTCTTCCTTGTGTTTCCAACCAACAGCATAAACCCTAGGGAGTCTCATGCTTTCCAGATTGTCGGAGCAACTTGTACACTGTAAGCCAAGGGAGGAGCTATATACAATCACCATCCTTGGGGAGGCTTTGATCCACATCTGTAAAGTCGACCCTGGCCAGCCTTAGATTGGTCCTTCCTAGGAAATGGGACTGAATGAACTCATGGAGTAGAGAAACAATAAAAGCATATGATCAGGAACACATGGTACCAAATGAATAAGTCCAAGCTGCACTGAATGCATTGGTAAAAAATGAGGTCCCAGGAACTGACAATACACTGAAATATTTCAACAAACTAATGCAGCACTGGGATCTATGCCAATTAAACGTGGAAATTGGATCTATGCCAATTAAATGTGGCTACCTAGCCAAGCGATTAAGAGATCTATATGTGACCTCCCATTCCAATGCGAGGTGACCCAACAGAATGTGGTAATCTCCTAACAATATCATTATTTTCACATGCAAGGAAAATTTTGCAGACGATAATTCAAGAATGGCTACAATAGTACATCAACAGGAAACTGCAAGAAATTCAAACCAGATTCACAAGAGGACGTGCTATGAGGGATATTATTACTGATGTCAGATGGATCTGGCTGAAAGCAGAGAATATTAGAAAGATACATATCTGGGCTTTATTGGTTATGCAAAGGTTTTTGACAATGTGGATCATGATACGCTATGGGTAACATTGCAAAGAATAGGTATTACAAAACACTTAATTGTGCTGGTGAGAAACCTATACATAAACCATGAGGCAGTTATTCAAAGAGAACAAGGGATAGTGAAGGGTTTAAAATCAGGAAAGGTGTGTGGCAGCCTTGTATTATTTCACCATACTCGTTCGATCAATATGCTTAACAGATTCTGGATTATATGGCAAAGAAAGTGGTATCAGAATAGAAGGAAGACCCTTTAACAACCCATGATATGCAGATGAAAAAACATTGCTTACTGAAAGTGAAGAGGACTTAAAGTACCTATTATTAAAGATCAAAGCCCACACACAGTCTTAAGCATGAATTGCAATACAATGAAAAGAAAACAAAAATTCTAACAAGTGGACCAATAAATAAGTACCATAATTATCAATGGAGAGAAAAATTGAAATCATCAAAGACTTCTTTGTGCTTATATCCAAAAGCAACAGTCAAGAAATCAAATGACATTTTACATTAGGCAAAGCTGCTGCTTAAGACCTCTTTAAAGTGCTCAAGGCAAAGATGCTGGTGGCATCTCTTCCAGAATCACAGAAACATGCTAAACACCACAGTAAAACAAACTCACAGACAAGGGGTGGACACAAATGTTTAGAGAAGCTTTATTTGTGACAGTCAAAAGCTAAAAGCAGTATAAATATCCATCAACAATAAAATGTGGTGCTGTGTTTTTGACTAATAGAATATTAGTCAAAGCTAAAAAGATATAAACAACTGATATATGCTACCTGAGTGAATCTCAAGGATATCAAGTAAACTGAAAGAAGAGAAACAGATACACATGAATTCATGCTCATACTCGTTGCAATTGTAGGAAATACTAGCAATGTCATTGAGAGGAAAGATAAGGGTTTAATCAGAAGGGACGGGAGGGAGCTTTATAGGATGATTGACATGTAATGTATCTTGATAGAGGTTTGGTTTATAGCTGTATGCATTTGTCAAAACCCAGCAAATGTACATCTCTTTGTATTCCTTGTTTGAAACTATTATTTCAAAAGGTTAAAAAAAAACTGTTAAGAAATGTTAAACTCTATTAAATGATAAGCATGCTGAAATATTTGTGAAGTGTACCGACCCTTGAAAATTGCTTTGAAATGCATAAAAAATAAGATAGATAAATGGATGAAATGATGAATACTCAATGCAGTATCAAATTAACCTTAAGTAGATAATGGGTACAAAGCTGTTCACTGTAAATTCTTTCAACTCTTTATGCGTAATGCCATATTCTATTGTTTTTAAACCTTGCATAATACACTGTGAAAGTTATAGCTCTCAACACAAGGTTGACAGATTAGGTCAAGATTAGGACTAGATGTAAGTGGATGAGTTAGAAGGTGTCATGTCACTCAGCCTGAACCTTATGGCATCATGTGTAAATGTTACAAGTGAAAACAGAAATGGATGTGATGATGTTCAAGTTAAAGAATCAGATTTGTAGATGGTCTAGATACAGAAGCTAAGAAAGACTATCAAGAATTGTTCAATAACTGACTGCTGCAACTAGTTGGTGTTGAGGAAACTGAAAGTCATGCACATACACCAGCTACATGAGATCCCTGAAAGATTTGCAAGAATCTACAATAGATTCTTGACCAGTTAAATCAGTTGTAGAGGATAAGGTCTGGACTGTAGAATAAATCTGGGGTTTGGGTGTAGTGCTGTAGGAAGAGTACTAAACTATTAACCTCAATACTGGCATGTCAAACCAACCAGCTGCTCCTCAGAAACTCTATACAGGGTCTGTATGACCTAAAGACACTCAACAACAACAGCCATAGCTGTGCAACTTTATAAATGGCTCCAGAGTTAACTTTGGACTATAGCTATAAATTTGCACAACACTGTCAAAGATTGATAATAAATGCAGCCAGAGAACAGATTAAATTACTAAGAGAAAGGAAGAGAGATGGGCTGAGACAATGAAGAATATCAATATTCAGAAACCAGAAACAGAATAAATTGGTGATAACAGTGGAATGGAAACAGAGGAAAAAATGAACCCATACAATCAATGTTTATTAAGATTTGTAAAACTAAAGAAAAAAGACAACTCTTTCCTGCTGTAGTAGTTTCCAGGTGAAGAACAATGATACCGGGGAAAAATAGAACTACACCTCTTTTCTTCAAGCCTTATGAGTGGAGACTGGGTACATATGTCTTTACCTTTCTGCCATGCCAAGGTCAGGAACTCTCTGTTGTGACGAGGAGTGACCAATCCTGGGTTTCCTGAACCATCTCCAAGAGAGTTAGATCAGAGAACTAAGTCTAGGTGAGGTCTTCACAACAGCATGTGAAGAATTCCCTACATTGGAACGCACAAAGTATTGTGTTCAGGGATTCTCATGGCCAAACCCGATCTCCACCCAAAAAGAAATGACAGTGACACTTTCTACATAAAACCTTGCTGCTGGGTGCCAACCCCCCTCACTCAAGCAGCCTGGTCATGCCAACAGAATCAGGAATGAGTAAGGTCCAGGTAAATCACTGGGTAGCTGACACAGGGGAAGCTCCCTTTTTGCAAATCCATCCAATTAGTTACCGTCTTGCACTTTGCCTCTTACTTCAGTTTTTTTAAAGTCATATTTTGAAATTAACAGACTTGACACTAGAATAATTCATGTGGCCACTCTCTTTCTCCACCAGGAGGCAGGGGCCACCTTCTGGATTGCTGCTTTCACATCTTTGTTTCTCAGTGTGTAGATGAGTGGGTTCAGAGCAGGACTGACAGCTGTGTACAATGCAGCCACCACCTTGTCATACTCCATTGAGGCACCAGAGCCCGGGAGGAAGTAGGTGTAGATGAGAGTGGAATAGTACAAGGTGACCACCAGGAGGTGAGAGGAGCAGGTATTGAAGGCTCGGCGCTTGCCTGAAGCTGAGCGGATGCGGAGGATGCTGGCCACGATGTAACCATAGGAAACCATAGTGACAAAGAAGTTGAACACACCGAAGTAGACATCAGCAATGATAATCATGATATTGTTTATGATTGTGGGGCTACAAGACAGCAGTAACAGTGAGGGGACTTCACACAAAAAATGATGGAGATGGTTGGAGTCACAGAAGGTCAGCCGTGCAATGAGACTAGTTTGCACTGTTGTGTTGACTACACCGATTGTCCACACAGCTGTGGCTAGTAGTGTACACAGTGTCCAACTCATGATGGTGCCATACCGCAGTGGCTGGCAGATGGCCACATAGCGGTCAAATGCCATAGCTGTGAGCAACACCAACTCAGCACCAAGGAACCAGGTTAGGAAAAAGAGTTGTGTTAGGCAGCCGTGATAAGAGATGGTATCCCCTTGCACTACCAAGCACTCTATAAGCTTGGGGAGAACAGTGCTTGAGCAGACTATGTCCAAAATGGACAGGTTAACAAGGAAGAAGTACATGGGGGTGTGCAGACTTGGGCTCAGAGTGATGAGTGTGATGATGAGGCCATTTCCTGCGAGACCTGCCAGGTAGAGGAGAAGAAAAAGGATGGAGAGCAGGCCCTGGACCTGTGGGTCTTCTGAGAAGCCCTGCAGAATGAACTCCACAACAGCCGTGTGGTTTCCTGCTGACATCTGGATGAACCTTTTGGGCCACTGGTCAGAAGGAAGCAAAAATCGATGGGTGTCATGGTCTTCAACCAGAGCCCTGATCACAACCCACCAAGACATGTTTGCATCTTCACCAAGAAAGCACATAACTAAGGCATCAATGTGTCTCTTCATTGGGAGTAGTGAGGGAATTACCTCTCATCCTGGACTCTTCTAAACCTTCCTCACAACTTTCCCCATTCATAAGCAGCAAGTCTGTCCCCAGCATCACACAGTCAGTTACACAAAAAGCACAGAATGAACCTGTATTAATTTTAATTTGGAACATATCCTTCCTGATCCAGGGACTCACACTGTAGTCTGCCTCTTAATGTCCAGGATTCAACCTTGGTCAATGTAGGTGACAAGTTGGGTGCCTGGTCTTTGCATCCCAGGAGAAAAAGCCTTGGTTGCAACTGGGGCACCTAGGACTCTACACTTGTAGGCCAACACAGCTACAGGGCAAGGAGGGACTTCAGTGTCAACTGCAGACTCACCTGTGCAGGTACAAGCATTACTGTCCAGCCAGCCTCACACACTTTAGGCTGCTCTCCAAGAATTCCTTCCTAGACCATCGTAAGGGAATGCACATAGCAACTGATCCATAGGCAGAAACACTGACCCTAGTTCAAAATCTGTCCCATTTATCCTGGAGTAGTAGGAAGCCCAATCTTTGAGGGAGCACAAGGCTATGTAGGGTTGGAGGTAGTAGGAATGGGCACATGCTGAGCCTCAGCACAGTTCGATGACCTCCCCACCAATGTAGAGACCCAGGTCTTTAGGCAGGGATACACTCAGAGAGCAGTTTAATTTACCAATATCAAGAGTCCCTCCACTGAGGTCATTACAAACCCCAGTGGATGTGGGAGAGTCCAAGGTCTAGATGCATTTGGGGTGGACTAAGGGCAACTCAGAGGCATAGTCCCCACCATTTTGTACCTTTGATCACTTACCTCCTTTACATGTAATTCGGACAGAAGACTACGCACACAATGGAATAAGTGCTCACTACTCTGTTTACGCAGCTCAAGGGTAGGAAAGTTCTGGTGTTTCTGACAGTTTGAACTACTGGTTAGTGAGTCCCTGACGTCATTCTTTGTGCCTGCACATAACCAGGGGCAGCACACCCCTCTCAGATCAGCAGTACAAGAGAGCCTTGAAGTGCAATGTGGGGTTCACACAAGGTCTCTGTCCCTGAGGGTCCATGCCATGCCCCACCCAATAGCCACATGTCATGTGAACCCCCAAACATCTACCAACATCTTATACATGTAGCAGCGATGCCCACTCACTCCTCTCTGGTCTCAACTCCCTAAAACAGAGATCTTCCTAGCTGCAGATCCACCTGCAGGTCCACCAGAGTCTCGGCCACTCCAACCATCTCACCTCCTACACCAGATTCATAGAAGACTTGGTGGCTGGTCGCCGCTGAGTCAGTAATCTCCCTCCCACATTAGAGACTGCAATGTACTTTGGAAATTAAGCACCCAGCTTGGTTCCCCTCTTACCAGGAGATGAACTGCACAGAATAGTCAGCACAACCAGCGGATGTGTGGCAGGTCCCGACACTACAGTTTCAAACTGAAATAACAAAAGACCAAAAATGAGTAAAGCACTTCTAGGGGATTTTTTTCCACAATAAAATACGTCAGAGTGAAAACAAAAGTGTCTTCAAACAAATCAAGAGAAAAATTAGGACACGTATTCCAAAAGACCACGGATAGACAGATAGACAGCTACTACCACTCATTATTATTGTCCACTACTAATACAAGGAAAGCATTTTTTGTCTGAACATGATGCCACATTTAAATGGGAAATACATAGCATCTTACTCAGGTGGGAAGGTGAGATGTGACCTATGTCTAAAGGTCCATACTTGCTGCTCGGTGGCTCCTGTGTTTTGCTATGGACCTTTAACTGGTGGCCTTCCCCTCCAGCAGACAGCTCAACTGGAAAGGTGCCCATGAGAGTAATTACCCCACCTGGAGGTAATAGGCCCCACGGGGCACATTCTGAGGCCGACTCCATTCAATGTTCAGGGTTCTGAATGGGACTGGGGACTGTGCTCCCAGGGCTGACACTGACCCCATGAGTGGGGGTTAGAAACCCTGAATTTCCCCACAGACTGACCCTGACACCAAGCTGACAGACAGGTCCTTAGGGGAAATCCTTGCCATGACAACTCAGAAAGAGCCTGTGTAAAACCAACTCCTGTGGAAAGATGATTTATTTTTAAACGGTTTTTAGAGCTGTTTTATTTTTTCTAACATCCTAGTGGCATGGGGAGTTAAGCACTGGATGCTAACTATAAAGGTCAGAGTTTCCAATACAGAAGCCATTTACAGTGAGTAAGAAGAGACATTCTGATTCTGTAAAGATTTAGAGCTACAGAAACCTGACAGAGCAGTTCTATCCTTTGCTTTAAAGTCTCTATGATTTGGAATCTAGCCAACAGCAATGGGTGGGTGTAGTTGAATTTTAGATTTCCATATCAGGACTGTTACATTTGTAGAAAGTTGAGAGGACGGTACAAACATCTCCCATACACCCCCCACCCAAGTTCCCTTGTTGTAAAGATCTTACAGTAGGTGGCACATTTGTCACAACAAATCAATCAATGTTGATACATGATTATTAACTGAAGTCCACACTTTCCCCTAATGTCCTTTCCCCACCCACACAGAAACCCACCAGTGTCCCAGTTACTGGTCATGTCTCCTGAGGCTCTTTTTCACTCTGACCCTGGTTGGATTAAGGCCTCTCTGTGCCCCCATGAGCTCTGCCAAAAATGAGCAAACAGACTTTGTTCCAGGAGAGATATACCTCACAAGCATAGTAAAGGTCGTGAAGCAGGCTTGGGAAGGATTGTTTTCAAGGAGTTGCAGAAGATGCCCCTCTCTCCACTGCAGGAAGCACCAAGATTGGGGCTGACTCAGGCCTGGGGTTGGGAACAGTAACCTTGCAAGGCATCTGCAGCTGTGTTTGGGAGCACACAGAAAAGACCCTGAATGAGTCACAGGGTCACAGAAGAGGCAGGTGCTGGTGGACAGTCACATGGACCACAGAGCAAGAGGCAGTGGGGATTCTACCAGACACATTACCATGCCAGGACTATACTGGACCAAAAAGTTTGTAGGACATCTGCTGAAGCTTCAGGAATGATGACCATGGAGGTGAGGAAGCCACAGAGATGTAAATATTGACTCAAATTTTGTCTGTACTGCAGAAGTCAATTCAGGGCTGTTCCCCAAAAGGCTTATCTAATGGATGTCAGGTGCCCGGGCTGCCACATGAGTGAGGAATCACTGAGCAATTATTAACCAACGTATTTACTGTCTCCAGCTGTAAGACAGCATTAGAAAATTTAAATTAATGTTTCATATTTAGAAGCCTCCAAGCATCATAGCAGCTCTGGTAACACAGTGGATTACGACCTGAGCTTCTTAACAAAAGGTCAGCTGTTCAAATCTACTAGCTGCCCCATGAGAGAAAGATGGAGCTTTCTGCTGCCATAAATATTTGCATCCTTAGAAATTATATACAGGGTCTCTATAAATCAGAATGAACTCAACAGCACATCACCACTACCACCGTGCGTCATGGAGTCCTGCTGTGGCACTACACAGGGTCATTATGAGTCAGAAGCAGTTCAGTGACACATAACAACAATGCATCATGGTAGACTGTGTGATCATGCTTTAATGAGTACAGGAAGAGAAGAACTTTAAAAAAAAAATAGCTTTGAGCACATCATAAACATATTTTCAGCAATAAAATTAAAGAAGATGCAGTTTTTATTTTCATTTAGTTCCATTATGTGTAGAGTAAAACATTAGTGAATTTGCCTTGTATTTTTGGGCTGAAATTTTGGAAAAATTATGTAAAAGATGGTTGTCAGATATGTGAACAGGGGTCAATTTCAGTAATTGCTACAGGCACTGTTTTCCTCTGTTTCCTCACTTTATTCCCAGACAATAAGGAAGAAGTGGTTGAGGAAGGTTCAGGGCAAGACATGGGATTGGACTCAAGCAGGGCCATGCCACTGCACCCCAGAGAAATAGCACTGTAACACCCCAAACAAGATGCAACCATACAAAGCCAAGCATTTGTTGAAATACAAATAAATTTTTTAAAAGGCAGCCCTGTCCTCATGTCCCTCCTCAGACTGTGGTCCAGGCTCAGGTACAGCTAAGCTCACAAAGCAGCAGGGATTCTCTGAGAACATAGTCCCCTGCACATCCCAGTGTCTGACTCCACCTCTGAAACCCTAACTTGCAAGGCCTGATACACTGTACATAATATTCTCAACTATGACAATCCCCACAGACAGTGTCCACCTGACAGCATGTATGGGATGGCTTCATTCATCAACTGTATCTGGTCCAGATACAACCACTGAAGTTCTTTCCTGGACTCGATGGAATCTTCTCTTCTTCTGTCCTACAGTCCTGGATCCCTTTAAGCCTTTGCCAGATTTGCTCCTATCTATAAATATAAATCAGAGTCAACAAACACAATGAACCAATTTGAAGATTTTCTTTAACCTCGTTTGAAGTTGTCAAAAATTTCATTTTCCTTGGATCCTCAATCGGTACTTATGGAAACAGAAATCAAGAAATCAAAAGACTCTCAGTTCCTGATTGCAAACTCTACGTGTTGAGGTTCAGGCCTAGAAGAGAAAAGCTTTATGTGTATGGAGTTGAAAAAACAGCCAGAAATCAGTCTGAGAGATACTAGTTTATTACAGATTAGAAAATAAAAGAGAGATGGTTTACCAACAAGGAAACTTGTTAGCAGGACATGACAGCTGTCTCCAGTGGTGGCTTTCTGGACAGTGAAGTGTTTCCATATAGGAGGAGGTTTTAGGGTCTCTTTTTATCATATGTGGTAAACAAGTCTTGTATTCCAGGCTGTATTAAGAGAATATTATCTCCAGTGAAGAGAAAAATAGGAAAACAGCCTGGCTCCAGCTACTTGCTACT